GTTGTTACCATTCATATTCCATGTGATAACTTGAAAAGTCTCTATTATTGAATGCCTTTGAATTTAAAAAAAAAATGGTTGATGGACGCATTGGAAAATGAAAAGCCTCATGTGTGTGAATTATAATAACATTAATTGCTAAACCTATTATAAGATAGTTGTTTCACTTGAAGTAAATGGTCATTATGAATAAGTGGAGCTTCTTTGGGATTTTAACATTTTGTAAATGCAAGTAATACACATCAGATGTGGTTTACTTTTCCAACGTTATTCATTAATTTTTTTGAATTCCAATGGATGCAAAACGACACTCTTCAATTTTAACGAAAACAAAGTCCAACATACATCCATATGACAATAGTCTTGAAACTGGAAACACTTAGAATAATTACGGAAAAGATTCATAAGATTAAACGGTTTAAAGATCTGACAATGGAAATCTATGATTGAAGCAATCAAGCAAATATAATCTATTATACTCAACATAGAACAGTAAAAATGGAATATAAGAAAACAATAGCCAATAAATATATAAATTATGAAGAAAAAAAATTCCCTCTCATTCCCTTTTTATAGTATAAGGAAAAATAATAATAAATAAAACTCTACTTTATATCTATATTCAGTCATCTACATAAAGTAAATTAAAATCTTAACTTAAAATAATGATACAAAACGGAAAACAAATTCGCACAAGAAACTTTTTAAGAAATACTTAAGATAAATATTTTAAATGTATATATATATATATATATATATATATATATATATATATAGTATAAATTAAAAGAGAAAAACAATATTTTTTAAAAGTATGTATAATTAATTATATTATCATGTTGAATTTTAAATTTTAAAATTAAATATATTAGAAAGAAATCAAACTTTTATTCTTTTGATGTAAGAGTGTAATTAACACAATTTCCTATGTCGTGAATGATTACCTAGAAGCTATTACTTGGAGAATGTGCCTAGACTTCTATGCATGTTTCCCTTTATTTTTTGCATAGAAAATTGTTAAGCCTATTAATTTATTATTATGTCTATTGGGAGGGAAAATATTTAATACTTAAAATTTAAACTTTCTAAATTTGAATTTTGAACTTGAGAGGTGAGAAAAGATTCAGCATTTAATATTGCCTACTACTTTTTGCATGGGAAATTATTAAGCATATTAATGATAGTTATTACTATATCTATTGGGCTTAATTATTATACATATTAGAATTAATTATAAAACTGGAAAAAAGATATGTATAAAATAAATTTAATTTTAATAAAAAATTATGAATTAAACGAAAAAATATTTAAAATTGTAAAAATATAATTTAAAATAAAGTAAATTAAATTCTTAGCTTAAAATAATGATACAAAAAGGAAAATAAATTCGTACAAGAAACTTTTTAATAAATACTTAATATAAATATTTTAAATGTATATATATATATATATATATATATATATAAATTAAAAGAGAAAAAATTATTTTTAAAAAGTATGTATAATTAATTCTATTATCATGTTGAATTTTAAATTTTAAAATTAAATATATTAGAAAGAAATCAAACTTTCATTCTTTTGATGTAAGAGTGTAATTAACACAATTTTCTATGTCGTGAATGATTACCTAGAAGCTATTTTTGAAGAATGTGCCTAGACTTCTATGCATGTTTCCCTTTATTTTTCGCATAGAAAATTGCAAAGCCTATTAATTCATTATTATGTCTACAGGGAGGGAAAATATTTAATACTTAAAATTTAAACTTTCTAAATTTGAATTTTGAACTTGAGAGGTGGGAAAAGATTCAGCATTTAATATTGCACACTACTTTCTGCATGAGAAATTATTAAGCATAATGCCTTAATCCTGGACCCGCCCCGAATCGGATTAGTTGTGAAGCAATGAACCAATTGGAATATTTCCAAAATAAAATAAAATTATTAAGCAAATTAATGATAGTTATTATTATGTCTATTGGGCTTAATTATTATACCTATTAGAATTAATTATAAAACAGGAAAAAAGATATGTATAAAATAAATTTAATTTTAATAAAAAATTATTAATTTAACGGAAAAAATATTTAAAATTATAAAAATATAATTTAAAATAAAGTAAATTAAAATTTTAACTTAAAGTAATGATACAAAAATGAAAAAAAATTCGTACAAGAAACTTTTAAAAAAATACTTAAGATAAATATTTTAAATGTATATATATATATATATATATATATAATATTAATAAGAGAAAAAAAATTATTTTTTAAAAGTATGTATAATTAATTCTATTATCATGTTGAATTTTAAATTTTAAAATTAAATATATTAGAAAGAAATTAAACTTTCATTCTTTTGATGTAAGAGTGTAATTAACAAAATTTTCTATGTGGTAAATGATTACCTAGAAGCTATTACTTGAAGAATGTGCATAGACTTCTATGCATGTTTTCTACTACTTTATACTTTCTAGATAGAAAATTATTAAGCCTATTAATAATATTTATTATTATATCTATTGGGTGAGAAAAAATTTAAAATTTATAAAATTTCAAATACAAACGACACAAATCCTTGCAAAAAATAATTATTTATTATTATTTTTTAAATCTGATTGTAATAAATAAAAGTCTATCTCTAAGATAAAATATAAAAACCTAAATGTGACGATAAGAACTTTTTTTGTGGATAACTGTAAAAATCTATTGCATGCTGATAGTTAGAGGTGACAAACTTGGCTTAGCCCGAAGGGCCGGCCCACCAACACATTTTTATAGTTAAATTAAAGTTTTATCCTTCTTCTTTTATAATTAAATTCCTAAATTTTTGTAAATACAAATATGTAAAATTCAAAATACTAATTACACAATCCTTGAAAAAAAATAATTATTTATATAAAACAGTGATAGTTAAAAGTTGCAAACTGGGCTTGGCCCAAAGGGCCTGCACGCCTTGCCTGCCAACACGTTTTAATAATTAAATTAAAATTTCACTCTTCTTTTATAATTAGATTCCTAATTCAGATTTCAATTTTTGTAAATACAAATTTATAAAATTCTAAATACTAACTACATAATTCCTTGCAAAAAATATTTACTTATTATTTTGTAAATCTAATTTTAATGAATGAAAGTTTATCTCTTAGATAAAATATAAAATCTTAGAAGTAATTATAAGAGCCTTTTTTGTGAATAAATATAAAAACGTTAGTTATAGGTGGCAAACTGGGCTCGGCCCAGAGGGCCGGCCTACCAAACATTTTTATAATTAAATTAAAATTTCACACATCTTCTTTTATAATTAAATTCTTAAATCAGATTTTAATTTTTGTAAATACAAATTTGTAAAATTTCAAATACAAACGACGCAAATCCTTGCAAAAAATAATTATTTATTATTATTTTTTAAATCTGATTGTAATAAACGAAAGTCCATCTCTGAGATAAAATATAAAAACTTAGATGCAAATATTAGAACTTTTTCGTGTGGATAAATATAAAAGTTTATTATATGCTGGTATATAATGCTGATAATTAGAGGTTGCAAAGTGGAGTCGGTCCGGAGGACTGACCCGCCTATTTTTTTGTAATTAAATTAAAATTTTGTTCTTCTTCTTTTATATTAAATTTAATAACTCAAAAATTTGCCAACTCTATATGTACAAAAGTTTGAGTTAGGTAGCTAACAATATTGATTTAAATAAAATGCAGAGATATATTTTTATGTTTTGCATTAAATTTTACGAGACATACAAACAAATTTCTTTTTTTTCCTGTGCATCGCACGAGTTATACTTAATTTTGAAGAAGTTTTTTTTCTTAGGGTGCTAATTTGGAACATTATCTAAGAAAACTAAACGTTCTTAATGAAAAATCGATGTTATTTAAGTTCAACGTAAAAAAAATAATTTGGAGTCATATAATGAGCCAAGATATGAAGTTTCAAGTGTTTGAAGCAGCGAAGCTATTGTCACCTCATTCTTTAAGTCTTTGGTGGACCCAAATGTATGTTGTTGTTTTTTAAAAATTTATCATTGTGGGTTCTTTATATTGTTACAAGTTTTTAGCATGTGTATTGATTTGATGCTATTTAGACACATTTGTTCCAATGTAAGCAAAAAATATGACTCATACATGACTATTTGGTTAATTTGCTTTCAAATCCCTTTCAGACAACGTTTTTTGGGTTCTAAAAAAAATAACCCATTTTTTTACTGAGATTATTACTTCTGAGTGTTAACATATTAGCGTAATTTATTTTATGAGCATTTACATTTTGTATCGTAGGCATAAATATGATGGTGGAAGAGGATGTCCCTGGTAATGCATAAACATAGGAAATCACATGTTTGGTATGTGTTAAACTCATCCCTCCAATGATTGCTTCAGAATGACACTGAATTAATAGCGTTTTTTTTATTATAGGTAGAAGCTGATCTTTTAATTTCATATTTGCTTGGTCTGTTTGTTACCTTGATTTTATTAGTGACTGTTATAGTTAGCAATAAGTTGTATGCATTTTTCTTTTTTTAGCCATCCTCATTTCAACATAGTCTATTATGGTGTATTTATTTTTTACATAACTCATCGAGTAGATAATATATTTGATGTGCATAATATTGATCACTCTGGATAGCAGATTTTTGTTTATGGTTGACATTTGCAAAGTTCTGTATCAATGCTGTAATTTTTTTCACTTGAAATATAGAACAAGATAACAACACAGGTTTTTGTAAGTTTAATGTTTGCAGTGCAATTAACCAACCACAGCGGACGACAAATATTTTGTTCTTTTTCCCCCGGACATCGCACGGGTAATTCACTACTAACCATATAAAGAAGGATAAAATGATAAAAAAAATATATTTAATTTTCTAAATTGAGTAAATGATGTACTATAGATATTTCCCAGCTCATCCTCTTTCCCTATCATCCCAAGTGGGTAATACTATAATACTATCAAAGCAAAGATATATTTGATATTGTTTTGCCATTAAAATAATAAAAGGAATAAAGGGTGAGAGTGGTCCTTAAACAATGATGATGGGGTGGCTTCAAACCAACAAATCTTCCCAAATCAGGAAACTCTCATCCTCCTTTGCCTTCTCAGAGAGAAAACAAACGCCAATCTCAAAGAACCTCTCATGGAAGGCTCTGTCAATGAACGTCTTGATTTTGGGAAGATGGGATATGGGTATACATTCTTTCTTTTTCTTTTCTTTTATTTTTTTTGCTTTCTTGATTCAGTAGATTCAATTTTTTTGTTTTTGTTTTTGTTTTTGTTTGGTGGGTATTTTGGTTTTTGATTGATAGGTGCAAGCATTATAGGAGAAGATGTAGGATTCGTGCTCCCTGTTGCGTTGAGATCTACTCATGCCGTCATTGTCATAACGAGGCAGCGGTATTTCGTGTTCGTTTCATTCTATTTTTTCAGCTCAAAGATTTTGTCTTTTTGCTTTTTACTGATCTGGGTTTGTCTTATTTTCTTCGCGTGTGCTTCATTAGAGCATGTTGAGGAATCCCTTTGATCGCCACGAACTCGTTCGCCAAGATGTTAAACAAGTACTATACTGGTTTTCATTTTCTTCACTGTGTCTTTTTTTTTCTTTGACTAATATATTTATCTAAGTGATCAATAGGAGATGATAAGACTAATGCACTTTTTATATTTTTTTGCCGTTTCAGATTGTTTGTTCAGTTTGTGACACTGAGCAGCCAGTATGTATTCAATTCAAATTTGATTTAAATCTTTGATTTTGTTTTTTTGTTTTGAGGTGGGGGTGGTTTGGATAAGGTCCTGGTTTTATTTCTATTTTTCACGTTCTTTCTTTTGTTTCTTTTTGAAGGTTGCACAAGTTTGCACAAACTGTGGCGTCAAAATGGGAGAATATTTCTGCAACATCTGCAAATTCTTCGATGATGATGTAATAATGGTTCAATGAATAAATCTGTAGAGTCTGATTGAATTTTACTTCTTAAATAATGTTTGATCTACTTCTACTTAGGTCCTTAGTTCTTAGAGATGGACTGGACTGAACTTGGTGTATAATCCTGGCTTTTGATTGTTAATCTTGTTGTTTCCTCAATGACCCTGACTGTAATTTAATCAATTTGCAGACAGGGAAACAACAGTTTCATTGTGATGATTGCGGGATCTGCAGGTGCGTTGGCTGTGTTGTATTTGAGTACATCATTCTTTCACGTCCTTAATTAATTCACCTAAATTAATTGCATGCAACCGAAATTAATTTGGTGATGTAATTTGGAAACAGGGTTGGTGGGCGAGAGAATTTTTTCCACTGCAACAAGTGCGGTATGCATTCATCATCAGTCACCATTGTCACTACTTTATTTATTTCCCTGCAGTAAATAAGTTGATGATTTTGATAGATTTAACTCATTTAAGCAATAATAATTGGCAGAGTTTGCTTGTTAAAATCAGTAGGCTTTATTCCTCAGAAGCAAAGTCAACATCTTTGGTTTGTCAATATCAATGAACATATTTCAAATCCAACCCTTGATCTGTGGGATTTTAAAATTGTGTGATTAGTTTGTTTTAATTTTGCCGTAAAATTAATTTTCCTTTCAGTTTCGTGTATCACTTGATCTTACCACTCGTTCATTCGTACAATGACAGAGTTTAAACGGAGCACCCTTACTAAGAATAATTTGCCCTGCATTTTTCCATGGTGGATTATTTTTTAAACTATGGAATTTGGAGTCTCATCTGATGATATATCACTTTAGTTACTGAATGGAACTATTTTTTAACTAATAACTTGCTGAATACTTTTTGTGTAAGGATTTCTGTGGTGATGAATATTTTATAAGCTGCAGGGTCTTGCTATTCAGTTAGTCTCCGCGATAATCATTTATGTGTCGAGAACTCCATGAGGCATCACTGTCCCATTTGTTATGAGGTGCATGCTTTATTCCCTCCCTTTCCCTGGATCGTGTTTTCAATCAAACAAGGAATATCTTTTTTTATGTAATTGGAAACTTGAGAATAATCTCATATGACTTCATATGTTTGTGTAGTACCTTTTTGACTCGTTGAAAGACACTGTTGTTATGCAATGCGGTCACACAATGCACTGTGAATGTTACCATGAGATGATAAAACATAACAAGTGAGTAATCTAACTATTTGAGAAGTCTTTGGTCTATAAACATGATCTCTGCGTGCGTATCTAGTAACTTGATTTGGTTTATGGCTTAGGTTCTGTTGTCCCATATGCTCCAAGTCGGTGACTGACATGTCTAGGACTTGGAAGAGAATTGATGAAGAGGTAGCTGATTAAATTAAAGAACAGAGATGCTGTAGTTTACTTGTTTTATATATTTTTATATCATGCAATTATCTGGTCAAGAATATTGCTTAGAGCAATGCTCTACACTTCTACTTCAATTGTGGTTTTTCTCTGATCTGTTTATTTTCATGTTATATTAGATTGAAGCAACGGTCATGCCTGAAGATTATCGGTACAGGAAGGTAAAATTTCATTCTTTGAAATGCTCGTCTAATACCTACCTCTGTTTATCTCCATTTCTTTTCCTTTGTCATTGATTTGAGGTTACCCCAGCAGTGAGTGGAATACCTATTAGACTATTTTCCCTGTCCTACACTACAGATTAGCCATGAAAGGTGATTTTGAGTACGAATGCACCTTTTGTCCCTTATGCATATGGAGCAGAAAGCAACTTGCAAATTTATTATAGGTGGAAAAAAAAATGGACGAGTTTGACGTTTAGGAGAAAGCCTACTTGTCTAATACTTGGATGATGCCATTTTAATATGTACTGATAGGATGGGTTGAAATGATACAGATTCCTCCTGTGCATGTCAATTACACATGTATATATCATGGTTCTCTCAGAACTGGTATTAATATAACCAAGAAGCACCCATTGCAGGTTTGGATACTATGTAATGACTGCAATGACACAACCGAAGTTTACTTCCACATTCTTGGGCAAAAATGCGGTCACTGCAGTTCATATAATACCCGGGCAATTGCACCTCCAGTTCTTCCTCAATGACCAGATTCTTGTGGTCCAAGAAAGAGACGTTGCCTTGCAGAAAATTAAAGTTAGCACCCATGTTATTGTAGAGTGTTATTGAATTAATTCAGCATAAGAGTAATGGTCTAGATAGTTTTCTAAGGCTGTTCTTCCTCCAACATATGGAGTGGGGTTGGTGTCTGCATCATTGGGCATAGATATAAAAATCTGTATACTGTAATACTGGGAAAAATGTTTTCCCATCATGAACTGCTGGTAATTGTGGTTTATTGATATTGGATGATTGCCATTGAATTTAATCAACATGACTCAAGTGATTATCTCCTGGGATACCTTCATAAAAATTCTTAATGACGGCGTGTTTCAAAATACAATTTCATGGGATCAAAAAGAGTTCACTATTGTAGCAGTGTACCTCCAGACTCCAGAGCGTAACATTTATTTGATGGAGAATGAGTCTGTCCCCACTTAGTGGGATAAACTATGATTGATGTTTGGGTTTACCGGATGTCCTTTAAAAGCAGAAAAGTTGTCTACTTGTGTCCTTTTAGTGATTTATACAAAGTCTAATTAGTAAGATTTTGTGAAAATCTGATTTTTTTTTTGTTTACTTTACATGTCAGCGATGTGATTGGAGAGAGAAAAAAAAAGTAACTTTTCAGATTTACAAAAGTCTTACTCGTCAGACTTTGTGTAAATTAACTAAAAAGACATAAGTTTATCTGCCTGTTTGGATTTTCTTTTTTTTAAGCTAGAAACTACTTATAAGCATAAGTTAGGCCAAACAAGTTTTGAGAAAAGCTCTTATAATGAAAAGCCCTTTTTTCTATAATGAAGAAAAAAGCTGAAAATTAAAAGCTCCTAGGAGGAGCTTTTTTTTAAGCTCTTATCTGTTTTTCTTAAATTGTGTGCTTTTTTTTAAATGAAGAGTGATAAAGATAGAGAGAGAGATAATTTTCTTGAAATATGTGCTTTTAAGTAAATTTTAAGCTAAAATTTTCATGTAATTCCCAAACAGCTTTTAACTTCTTTTTTTAAGCTTTTTTTTTTTAACTTTAGCTTATAAGTTGCTTCTAGCTTAAAAATAAGAGGATCCAAACAAGCTCTATATCTTTTAAGATGATACTTTTTTTCCTCTTGATGTGTTTGATCATTCTATTTCGAACCACGATTTCACTATGATTGTTTTAAATATTTTATTAGTTATGATTATAATTTCTCTAAATTATAGGCGCTGGAAATTTAAACGACATAGACCAAGAGCTTGAAAACTAATGACAATAATTTGCATGAGGCTATTGAAAAGGAGGTTTCAGCTTGTCTGGAAAAACCATGGTTTTCCCAATTGTCGCTTCCCAAAATCTACAAGTAAAAGATAACACTCCGTTCTCAACTTTCATAAATATAAAATGTATAGTCAATTAGTCATGGTGTCTTTTCTTCATTCTCAATTGGCATTTCTATTTCAATTTCACAAAAATAAGCGAAAAGAGTTTATTATTTTAAATGATATAAAATTATGTTATTTTCAGAGAGAAATAAATATAAAATAATATTTTTTATTTAAAATTTAAAATTTAAATTATCTATTATTATCTCTTTGAGACGAGTTGTCTCCTTCCGGTATCCCCACGAGCTTCGACTCTTTGAGCCGGCTATGAGACTAATCCGGAGTGCGGGGGAACACTGATGACTAAAGGTTCAGCCCCCTCCCCAAGAATGCATTCAGCGGGAATCGAACACATATCCAACCCCACTAACTCAGCGCCAAATTACCAACTGAGCTGCACACATTGGGCCATTTTTTTTCTTTTTCTTATTAAAATATATAATTTATGTCTTTTAAAAAGATCAAATCCAACCTGATAGGGCCATTTTCTGGGCCAAGCCCATCAAAACAAAACAGTACAGTGTTTCCCCCCAAAGTGCTCTCTCTCTCTCTCTCTTTCTCGACTCGTAGGTCGTAAACCAAACCCTGAGCTTGAAAAGTTGAGTTGAAGCTTGTTCGTTGTAACTCTGTCTGTCCCTTTACATTGAGCCATGCAAGTCGCTTCCAATGCTCGCCGAGTCTCTCGGCTTTTGCAATCTCCAATTCTCCTTTCGTCTCATTCTCGAAGCATCGAATCTCCTCACTCCACCACCCCCTTTTTCTCAGGTGAGTTCTGCCTCGTTCCCTTTGCCGCTCATAAAATAATATAACAAAATAAATTTATGATTTTATGGAAATATGGAGTTAAATCTAAAGTTTAAAACTTGAATGTTAAACCGTAGAGGGCTTTGCTTAAGCATCTTAACGAAGGCGTGATTGTTACCTTTGTAACGGTGAATCTGGAGTATTATTATGATAGAATGATTTAATTATATGAAGTTGTTGAATTAGACAGGGCTCACACGACGTAATTACTGGCTAATGACGACAGAACCGATCCATTTCTTCTTGTCAAAGGCTTTTTATACTTCTGGTTCTGGAGTGGATACTTTAGAAGGGTCTCCAACAGGTTCTTCATTATTTTGCTTCTTATAACTTCCTTTTATATTTCATTTTCTGATGTTTGGTTTGTGTTCTTGAATCTTGAGTGCAGAGGCTGTCAAGGAACTCTATGATAAAATGCTTCAGTCTGTAAATGTTAAACGATCAATGCCCCCAAATGCTTGGTTATGGTCAATGATTGCTGATTGTAAACACCAACACGATATTAGACTTCTATTCGACATTTTGCAAAATCTCCGCAGATTTGTTAGTTTCTATTCATTTCCCCTCCCACTTCTTTTTCTTGCTAATTTAATTCTTTATTTATTCCCTTTGTTATGGTATTGATTTTTAATCTATTCTGTAAGCAGAGGTTGTCAAATCTTCGCATTCATGACAATTTTAATTGCAATCTCTGTCGAGAAGTTGCTAAAGCATGCGTTCATGCAGGAGCCCTTGATTTTGGTATGCGTACTTTATCTTTGCCTCCACTTTGTTTCTTATAGTCCATGTTGTTTCACTTGTGAAATTTAAAGACTATAAATGTTGAGGTTATTTGGCTAAAATTTGTATGCAGGAAAGAAGGCTTTGTGGAAGCATAATGTCTACGGACTGACCCCAAGTGTTGCGTCTGCGCACCATTTACTGGTATTGTTGACATTTTATTGTTCTAAATTCTTTGATTCTGTGTCCAATTTCCAATTGTTAAATTCCTGTCAATTTACTGCAGCTGTATGCTAAGAATCACAATGATACCAAACTGTTGGTGGAAGTAATGAAACTTCTGAAGAAGAATGATTTACCATTGCAACCAGGCACAGCAGATATAGTTTTCAGGTATATTGAAATTCTGACATTTTTGTGCTTATGTACATCCTATGTAAAATAGTAGTCTCAAAATTTAAAACAGTGACTGGACATTTAATATATATAATTATTCTCTTAGTTGCTGGCTGGCATGCACTTATTGCAAATCCTATCCTGTTGTTAGTACCCCCAAAACTATATATTGATTGTTTGAAGGCAACTTGGTGCCTGTTCGTGTATAAGGCTATTAGTCTACAATACAGTTGGTTGGCATAATTTTCCGAGCTTGCAAATGCATGGGTGGATGATAACATTAACATGTATTTGGTACCCAAAACCTTTCTTTGAAGCTGAAAGTGAAGCAAATCAGTGGTAAAAATGGAGAATCTAGCCTTTTTTCATGTCTATTAAGTTGATTTTTAGTATTGTCTAACATTAAAGAATATAAGTACATAAACTTATATTATCCTCATTTGTATAAGGCTCCTTGTTCTCTTCTATATATGCCTCTGACTCGTTACCTCCGCCGATCATTTGCAGCATTTGTTACAATACAGATGACTGGGAGTTAATTAACAAGTATGCAAAAAGGTTTGTCAAGGCTGGTGTAAAGCTACGACAAACTTCATTTGACACATGGATGAAATTTGCTGCGAAAAGAGGTGCATTTATTTTGAGTTTTCTTTTTCACTTAATATTTTTATTGTCTGCCTATTTTCTTTTTCTTTTCTTTTGCTTTCTTACGCTTTAATTGCAGTTTGTTGAAGTGGATTCCTTAATTGAACATTAAGCCACCCATGAACTTATGGAGATTTATGAATTGTTTAGTTTTTATTGGCTTTTCATTTTTCTTTCCTTCCTAACTTGCATCTTCTCCTGTGTTGGCAAAGCTGTTGCTTCTCAGTCCTGAAGAAATTGAAAAAAGTCCAAAAGAGACTAAAACCACATAGGCTGGGCTGTAATATAATTTCATAAAGTCAGAAAATCAGGGTCATGAATTGTCTCTACCATTGGTACTTTAATTTACTGGGGACTGTGGCATTTGATTGGTTTCACACAATTTTTGTCCAAATGCATACCCTCTAGTTAGCCCAAGTGGGATTTTGGAGTTAGAAAAATTTAAACAACTGGTTCTATATACAGTTGTTCAGTGGAAATAGGTGTCCTTGTGTAATGGATCTTGAATATTTCATAGATTTAGACAAATGGTTTGCATTCTTGCATTTGCTTTATTTATTTTATAGCTTATTTTTTGGCCTTATAATGTTGTCTTCTATGTCGACAATTGTAAATTAGTCTTACATATGTAAATGCATAATTCGTAATTTATTAATAACTAAGGTAGTATTTCAATATAAAGATGTGGGCTGTTACTGTGCTTCATTTACATAACCAATATTAAAGAATCATATAGCAAATACATAGTAGAGGTGGTTTACATTATAAACTCTTTTGTAAATATTTGAGGGATAGTGATTGACTGATCGTGTTCATCCACATGTGTCTTCTAGTTTCAAAGAACATTCTGGCTTATTGAATAGTCCAAATAAATAGTGCCGTCATTGACTGAGGAATCACACTAGGGAATATTTTTTCTGTCCAATGTGTTATGACTTGCTCTGTCCATATCTTTTTTGAATTTCCTGGGCTCAACTATATTAATAAACTCTTCAAGGTTAGTTGGCTTATAATATGAGTGTATGCATAGTAGTATTACTATTATATGATTTCAAGGTCACACTTTATATTTTGTTTGAGCTTTCTAAAATCGTTTCTGCCTATGCTGAATTAATCATTGGTGTATTTCATTTTCTTATTTGAAGGAGACACTGAGTCATTATGGAAAATAGAAAAATTGAGATCTGATTCAATGAAGCAGCACACTTTGGCAACTGGGTTTTCTCTTGCCAAGGTAGCAAATCAATCTACACCATCGTCTGATTTGACTATCAATTATGATTATAATGCAGTTACCAAGTTTATATGTTGTGTGTGTCCTATGTAGCTTATGACATGAGATCTCAATGAGTTTTGATTTGTAGATATCATGCTCTCTGAAAACATTATATTGCACGAAATTCTTTTGTTTTTAGGCATTTTTCAATTCATTAATCTGTTTTCCTTGAAAAGAGTTTTAGTTGTCCATTTTTTTAAAAATATTCTTAATTTTCCCAATTGGACAAGCCTTATCTAATCTTACATCTGTCTCACATAAGTTGCCCTGAACTTCAGCTACATGCTGATGTTTGTTTCCACTTCCCAGTAGCTGGGTTGGGTCGAAGCAAAGTTCCGCTTAGAAAGTAAGCCTAAGCTTGTGTTTATGATTTTTCAGGGTCTTCTGTTGGCACGTAAACCCAGTGAGGCAGTTGCCATCATTCAAGTTCTAAATCAGGTATGGACTGTATGTTTTTGTTCATGTTCCTATGTTATAAATTTCTTCGCCAAAGAGTGAAACAAAGAAATGCTTCTACAATAAGAAATAAAACAGTGGTCGCTGAAATTTGGTTATTAATTAATTAAAATAAAAATCAGTTTAGATAAGAACAAATGTTAATTTGTAGCCAAAGTTACAGCTTTTCAAAAAGGAACTTCAAAATCAAATTAGTTCCACTAATGTGTCTGAAGAAATTATATCATTATTTATATTTGCAAAACCTTTTTTTTTCTTGGTTTTGATATGATATGATTATTGTTGGCGACAAGCTTATGATTGAATTGAGTAGGTACAACCTGGACATGGAGATATGGTTTTGGATTGATTTTGGGTTGAAGTTATTGCTTCACATATGTTGTGTTTGCTTTGGACCTCTGGTGATGGTTGTATCGATTAGAATGACTGTTAGCAAACTGAATGGAAGGTCATATTTGTCTTTGCTTAACGCTTCCTTCTTTTGACTCCATTGTTGCTAGACTTTGTCTGATGCAAAAAAGTCAGGCATCAAGGATGAACTCCAGAAGCTTGTAGCTGAGTGGCCTTTGGAAATTATTAAGCACCAAAAAGAAGAGGACAAAGAGGTATACTGTCTCAGTCGTGAAGAAAACTTACTTTCGACCTTTTTGTTCAGTTTTGGCGCTATATAAGACACTAACATGTTTTTTTGATACTTTTTCTGCTATACTGACAGGAATTAGCAGCCTCTTTGAAATCTGATATCCTTGCCATGGTTAGTGATTTACTGAACATGGGACTTGAGGCAAATATAAGTTTGGAAGACTTAAAAAGAAAAGAAGCTATTCCACAATAGCATGAGTTCGGAATCTGAAGATATTATGTTTCAGAATATGCTTGTTTGAGAATTATCTCCTTACCTGGATGCTTCCTAGCCTAGTAAGATACCGAGTCTCTGATCATAGCAAATGTTGATTACTAATTTGAAATTTATTTATTTTTTATTTCAATCTTACTATTTCTTATCGTATGTACCATAAATGCTTAAGGTTTTGGTAGCATATTAGTGGAATTTAGTTAGTGTTTCAAGAACTGAAATCTGGATGTCAGTAGATTATGTTGGAACACAAATAATCTGGCTTGTATATCTTCTGTAAGGTGCAAGCAATTGGTTTCTTCCAATACAATCGAAGATACAATCTTGGCTATTTAATCTCTTTATTTCTAATTGAAGTGAACCTAAAATTATTTCATAAAAAAGTTAAACCAGTTTACCAAATTGAACCACTAAAACAAGTTCAGTTTCCCGAACCAAATTACGAAAACTGGTTTGGTTCAACATAAAAAAATTGAGCCGAACTGTACTCTCTCAAAATACGGATTGGAAAAGAAGTGATTTTTTTAATAGTTTAAATAGGAAGGAGAAGGAAATTGCAACAATCAATTACTGTTATTACTAATGTTATTACCAATTAATTTCATCGTTGGATCGATTATGTTGATGTAACGGTTATATTTTATTTCTATCTTTGTATGGTTATGATTATCCATATTTAATACTTTATATATATTTTTACCTTTATATGGTTATGATTTTTTATATTAAATATGGAGAATCATAATTATACAAAGATAGAAATAAATATAACCGTTGGATCAACATAATCGATCCAATGGTGAAATTGATTGGTAATAACACTAATTGGTTGTTACAATATCCTATCCCAAATAGAAATTTGAATTATATTATTATTATTATTTAAATAATGAAAAGAAAAATTTAAACTAATTACTCGTTATTCATAACCATTTTTTGTTTTTATCTACAAATAAAGAAACATGAGTTTTTTTTTGCAGGGTACAATAAAAATAGGTTTGTTGTCTTTAAATAACTACCGACTTTCTAGAATTTTTTTATTTTTAAAGTTAGGGTTTATATAATTGGAATACCTTGACACGCATCTCTTTATTAGTAAGTTAGGATTTGTTAAATTGACACACAACGTAGTAACTCATTTTAAAAAGAGGTTTTATCAATTAAATAGTTTGTTTGTATTTAATTATGGATAATAAATTTCATGAAATTCAAACTATATGGTGTTGTCTAGTGTATATTTTTATGGGGATTATTTATTTATTAAGAGATAAATAAAGTGAGTTCCACTAATTTTTAGAAAAAAAAAAAAAGCATATTTTTCGAAGTGAGGGTAACATAAGAGATCAATCTCATGCAACGTAAGAGTATGATTTCCATATTTTTATTTGTTATAAATATAAAAAATGAGAAAATATTTTTGTAAGGACATATAATATTAGTATTTCTGGACAACGCAGTGGGGAGGGGTGATCAGCTATTATTTTAGCCTGGAATTTCCAGTTTATTACAAAAATGTCTAGTCGATGCAAATGGCATGCTGATCACATACATTATGATTCACATTCCAAGTTTAACCATGGTAGTGACTTCTCATTGTCACTTTGCAGTTAGTAATATTATTTCTTTAAAAAAAGAAGTAGCGTATTGTCATTTGTCACTTCTTATTGCCTTTAGCTTTTAATATTTTTACATCACTTTTTTTTACCCTTCAAAATACATATTCAGTATTTCAGTGTGTTGAAGTAGGTTATGCTCTTGAATTAAGCTTCTGTTTCACTTTCCAAAACAAAAGTTTAACCTTAATTGCTGCATTTTGAGCTCAAAATTTGCAATGCTACATATTATAAGGAAAAGTGAGCAACGGCATGGCATTTTATGTTTGTGTGGTCCATCCCATAAACAGCAACGATTAGGGACTGTGAAGGGTCTTTTTTCTTTAACTAACCAACCTTGATGCCTTCCTTCTTTGGTAGATTTAGGACAAAAGCAAGTAAATGGGCGTCAAATTTCTTGACCAAGAAGAAAAAAAACCATATTAACACAGTGAGTCATATATTCTAAATATTTTGCTCATAATAATCATCAATATCAGACATGTTTACTAATATGTTCAATGCTACTGGCTATTTCTTCTCCCGTGATCTCTTGTCTATACATTGGGTGATTGTGATCGCATGGTACTAAAATAAAACACCATTTAATATTCTCCATGTAAAATACTATAAGAAAAGGAAAAGCAAGATTTCAACCTACATACTCAAAATTTCTCTCTTAATTTTTTCAATGGTACTGTTTCCATCACCATTTTGCACTAGAGTTGTGATTGCTAATATCAATTTCCCGTGATTAACTGAGACATTTGCAGCCAAAATCTCAGCTTGGTGCTTGCAAAACACCTTGAAAATCACTGTGACCAAACCGGGTTGAGCCACCGATTGAATCCCAAAGAAGGCAACATTGTTAGAGACAGTAACCGTGATGGAACAATTCCTATTAGCACATGGAAGCATCAACCTCCCTTCTTCTGGTTTCATTGACTCCTTGAGCTCCTCCAACCTTTGCTTCTTCTTCTCAAGGTCCTTAATGTAGCGAATCGTTTCGTTTATAATCACTTCCCTCGTAGCCTAACTCACACAAAAAAAAAAAAAAAAAAAAATTAAAAAAAAAATGGCAATTTCGAATTGAAGCCAATAGCATTTAATGCAGACTCTAAATGAGAAACAAGGCATTGTGAATTTGTGATTGGCAAAAGTTGACAATTTTAATAATATAAAAAAATGGGTTAATCACAATATTAACATTAACATTCAAAACCCAGAAAACCCATATAAACAAAACTCACAAAACATATTGGAATAGAACCAAAAAAAGAGGTGAAGAAGTATGAATTCAAAACAGAATGTGCAGAATTCATAAAAATGGTGGAAGAGACATTGATCAACCTGAGGAAAGACACCGGGGACAGTGGTCCGAAGCTGAGTGAACATCTGAGTCATCTTCAACCTTCGGTCACGTTCCACCTTAAGGCTATCATCATTGGTGGTAGCACCCAATTGTCGACCACGCTTTTTGGAGGCGTTGCTGTTACCCAATTGAGCAATGGTTGAAGGGTCAACAGAAGAAGAAGAAGGTGGGATTTGAGAGAGTGGTGGCATGGCAGAGTCACTGTAACCTTCCATCATAGTCAATAGTAGTTGGTTGATCTCTTCTTCCTCTTCCTCTGCCTCTCTTCTTGCGCCACCCATGTGCCTCTCTTATATCTCACACTGTTATATACCAAAACTGTTTTGTATTCCTCAAGCGAAAGCTAAAGAGAAAAGTTGGCACTGAAACTGTTAGCAGAATAATAACACTGTGCTTCAAAAAAAAGATATGCTTCCTGTAATGGGCATGCCTAGGATTGTGCTCTTTTACGTTCAAACTAATTATATGCACTTTGATTCTCTTCATTTTCATCCTTTTCTATTATCTTGGTCGTTGTCAATTTTTTTTTTTTTATTATTTTTTTTTCCTTTTGCATTACTCGCTTGAACATTGCCAATTGCCATTTTTGCCTTATTTTTCCTTTGCTGGTTATTCCTTCCCACTTTCCATCATTGTCTATAGTCTATACTAACTTTTAAGGAATATATATATATTTTTTTTCCAATTCAATTAAAACTAAGGAGAGAGTATTATTAACACCATGCTATGCTAAGACTCTAGTATAATGTATATTGGATATAAGGAAAATGTGACCATTTTGTATGGAAATTGGTAGTGGGGGTAATTGAATGGATTCCCAAAGGGATGTGATTGTGACGCCTTCATACATCCATGCAGAATAACCGTAGTTGTAGGACTAAAATAACAGACTTGTTGACGCACAAAGTACTAGTTAGTGGTTGGACCCCACAAAGTGATGAACAATAAAAGTGAAAAGAGAAGTTTGTTTCGGAATTGGGAACTTGCAAGTCAAGGAAACAAATTATAGCATATGAGTGACCACCGCTGTTGTGATCACAATTTCATGCAAGCAAGTTGGGTACAAAGCGATGCTCATATATCATATATTAAGGCTTGGTTACTTATTGGTGTTAGTGTTACCCTTTTCTACCGTAATTATCAACAAGACAACACTCATAATTTCGTAACCATTTGGGTCCTTCTTTTTCCTTCTTCTTGTTTTTTTTTTTTTAAAAAAATTGATTTCAATCATGTTTGATGAATGTAAACAAAGCCTTTTTCATGCCTAAAATTGAAGATCATAAACTTTTAATTACTTACTTCTTGGGTGTGATATTGTATCAGATGAGAATTTTATCATTACCTATATGTAAGGTGCTTCCATCATTTACAGCACATGCACATGCTACTTTGCCCTTTATATGTTTATTATTATTACTTTTTTTTATATTTTTTTATCTTGTAGATAATTTTGTAGCTCTAAGGAGGAGTTTTATTTTGGCGCTCCCGGCCCACAAAATATTGGTTGGGACGGAAGAGAGAGGAGGAAGAAAAAAAAAAATCATATGTCACTTCTTTAATGGAAGGACCACCATGGTCCAGAAAGATGTTAAAAATTTCCTTCTAAAGAAAGGTTTGTGTTAAAACTGGTTTGAGTTCCATTTTAAAGTTTTTCAACTATTTTTTTAACTTAAAAATGTAAATTATAGGAAAACCCACCCCTTGCGAGGTACAACTAATATGGGTAGAAAGGTGTCAATTCTTATTGACTAATCAATCGTTTTAATTATGAAGAATGGAAGTTAGACTAATCAATCGTTTTAATTATGAAGAATGGAGGTTAGAAAAAAAAATTGGTTTGAAAAGTTTTATTACCCTTGTGGTCTGAATCGACTTAACTAGTCAAGTAATAAACGTTGAACTGAAAGAGAAATCTAAAAAAAAAAAAAGTAAGAAAAAAATTATAATATTTTAAAAGTCAGACTAAAGTAAATGATATAACTGATGATCATGAACCAATTACGTCTTTAGTCTAAACATTATTTAGTTAAATCATGATTAAATTATAAATTTAATCAGTTGAATTAATAAAATTATGATCTAAAAATTTCGTCATTTGAATCTCTGATTCAATTTTTAAAATATTGAAAATTTTCACACACTTACCATGATCTATAATTTTAAAATTGTTTAGGTAATGAGGAAGGTAAAGACAAAATTGGATATTTTTCTTGAAATAGTTATACTATTAAAGATTATCTTTGTATATTTATAATAATAATAAAATTGTCAATAAGGAATAATTCAACTTATGGTATCGATTTGATTTGATTCAAATGTTTTAGATTTGATTTTTACAAATGATATATCTAAACCAAAATGAATTAACTTTCTTTTCTCCCAATCTTTTTTTTGTTTATTGTGACATTCATAATCCTTGAAATTTCTCTCACTCATAAACAGCCTAAAGTTTTTTTTTTTTTTTTTATCGTTTTTTATTAATATTTTCGGGGCGTGAGTTCGTATAGATCCAGTTTTGGTTTGTGAAGCCCATTATGTGGTACTATCCATCAATCTAATTTGGGCGACCTGGGCAGCTCATTTTAGACCCAGAGCCACAGTAACAAAGCCCAAAACATCCAACTTTTTTTTTTTTATTAGACTCATCAATTCGATATTTTAAACAATGTTTTATATTAATCACGAGACAAAACACTTGGTATTAAACCCATTTTGAAATGCAAAAAAAAACCACGTAATAAAACAAAAATATACCGATTAGATAACTAGGTACCCTCTTGTATCTTGCGTCTATGTTACATTTTATTTTGTCTAAATCTATCAAACTCACAAAGCAAAAACATTTATTTTATTTTTTTAGATATTTCAATCGGTTCATCAGTTTGCGACTAGTTTGATTCAGAGCGAGTTTCAGGATTAAGAATTTAAAATTCCTTCAAAAACAATACTGAGGAAGATCGAACACATACAAATTTTTCTACATTATAAGTTTTTCATACATATATATAATAAACTGGAACCTATGAGTTGAGGTCACATGACAATAAACATGCTCACACATATTGCGGTACTAGATTTCTTAATAAACTTGTGGATATAATAAACATTAGGTTTATTAATTAACTAAGTTCACCGATGAAGCCTCAACATAGGAACCACCACGAGCAAGAGGAATACTACTGATCCAAGCAGTGACAGAATAAGGGAAGCAGCTAGTTGATCACAAAATTTCCCGAAGACATTGCACACCTTGTTCCATTGCACATGTGAGTTTCCACGGAAGCCAATGACACCTACTGCGGTGGCGGCTCCATTCCCAGAAAAGAGCAATGCCACCATGATTGCATCAAGGACGGTGATCAATGTCCACAAAGCTTTGGTTTTACCTCTATTTGTGAGGGCAAGGAGTACAGAGAAGGCTGCGTATGCACATGCTATTGCATTTGCCACCACAAAGTAGCTAGTACATGAAAATTGTTGAAGATATATATATGTTGGTCATCGTTGTAAAATAAATAAAATTTCAACTTTGAATGCTTGTTCCATCTAGAAATTTGATGATTTTCTAGAAAAAAAATAGAGATATCATAATTTATTTTTTAAAAGAAATAAACTTCTATTCATATATGTTAATTATATGACATGTATATGTTAGGGTCAAAGTAAATCAAATCGGCGACGGTGAGTATAGCTAGCCATAAATGAAAGCTTTGAAAATGGCAAGTGTAAAGCTATTTATGTTTAAGGGTAGTTGGGAGTTTAGAACAGATTGCAGTTTAATTCGAAATAATATTATTGGATATATATGTCAGCTAATAAATTCATGGCTGTGTAAGTATTTAACTATTTATTGTTGGGCCCAGCATTTTAGACTTTTTTAATGAAAAGAGATAGGTGTCTAATTTGTTGAGATATCAAGTGTATTAAATGTCAATATTAGAAAGATTAATGAAAATTATTTTAATATTAAATTATGTGATATATAAATTAAATATAAGTCTTTCAAACTGAGAATACTTTTAAGGAAATTAATTAACAAGAAAAATATTTCTGTAATTATTGCAGATAAGTTATCTGCATTTATTCTCAAAACGACGTCGTTTTGAAATTGAAAGATTAAAAAATTATAATTATAAAGACTATAATAATCCTGAAATAAATTAAAAATATAAAAAGACCATGATTTTCGTCCAAAACGATGTCGTATTGGACTTACTGCAGATAATTTATCTGCGGAAAAAGCGAATTCATTAATTAAAGAGTTTTGGTTTAATAAATTATACTTTTTTCAGTTCTTCTTGATAAAAAAAAGGGACCTAGGTTTTTTTTTTTTAAAAGATATTTTCTCCTCAAGAAACAAAAGAAAAAAAATCTGAATAACCACAAAGCAAGCAGAAAGCTAACAATTAATGATATATCAAATTATCAATACCAAAAAAAAAAAATAGTGTTTTAATTTCAATTCCACATATAAGATCTATAAAAAAGAAATTAAACACAGCACATAAACAGGAAGAGTAAAGTGTTAAGGGAAGAGAAGTAGAGAACTTACACCAAGGCAGAGAGGTAATGCCATTTAGCAGTAACAGGAACATTCAAAGGTGGCAAAGTATCTAGTAACTGGATTGAAACAACCTTGGTCTGTTTATCCGCCCCAATAGTTATAGCAGCCCCAAGAGTCAGTGCCAACGCCAAAACCCTCATAAGCAATTCACAAGCACCCGCAGGAGCAGGTTTTGCCATGATCACCACTTCTCTTCCTTTGCTCTCAATCCCTTCCATGCTCGCATTACAGTACTGATGGTCCATTGTAACCCGCGGAGCACAAATGCTTTTTTGTTTCTGATGCTGAAATGGTTTGTTCCCTAGAGGGCCAGGACATGTCTTAAATATTGATAAAATTTGAAAACTGGGAAATTTTGCATTAATTATAAGGAAGTGGGGAAATTGTAACTTTGCCAATATTAGGTATGACTATTTATGGAAGTATATTTACGAAAAAGTGAGACTTATTTTCACGTTAAAATTTTACATGATTTGATCAAGTAAATTTTTTATGTTTATTATTATTATTTTCAAATATTTTTCATTTTAAAGGATGAATATTTTAGTTAAAATTAATATTTTTATTTAAAATTTAAATTAAAAAAATTACTCACTTTCTCCCCCATAATTTTATATCTTTCTCTCATTTGAAATAATACAATTCTATGTTATTTAAAAATACAAACATCATTGCTCAAATCTTAATTAGATGTAACGGGATAAATTTGAATACATGATGAATTTACTCCTCACAGCAACGAAGAAGAAATTTTCTATTTATGGAATGTATACAACGTCTCCAATCTAATAAATTGATTTACCTAAACTTTACGAAACAATATATAGGTGTCAACTACTTGGTTTAAATGTTGTGTAAGCCGTTGAGACGTGTCTTTCTCGGATTTGTATTATTTTATGTGAAAAAATGGTCATATTATTTGATTATAATTACTCATTTTTACTCATCAATTATAGAAAAAAAAAAATTTAAATGAATAGTTGTGATAAAATAATATAATCACTTTTACACGTGAAGATACAAATCCGTCTCTCTTTATCTCTCTGTCACCCTGCTCCCTTGGTTTTATGAGAGGCTGAGAGGGTCCTACTTCTAACCGTATCTTTGATGCATGTCAATTATTGTTTTTCGTTATTTATTGCATTTTTTTTCTTTTTCTCAATGATCTGTCATTTTTGTTTATCTTATATGTGCTATTTTAATCACCTCCACTTGCTAGTTGGAAGGCAATTAATGCCATTGTATGGAAGCGAAGGAAGCCACGCAACAAAAGCATATTTCTGCTTCAAGCTTGCATGGCAGCACCATTGAGCTCCACAATTTTGGTTGCGCTCGTATAAAATAGTACTAATAGCATTCCGGTGATAATACTGAGAAGGTTGATTCGTCAATCCACACAAGATTGTAATTGTTTCATTTATTAGACAAATCACAATCATTCATGACAGTGAGCTGCTATCAAACCCCCATATTTTAAAAATTTTGATGTATCGTATCCGATATTTTTTGACACTCTTCGACACTTCTAATTGTTTCATTTATTAGACAAATCACAATCATTCATGACAGTGAGCTGCTATGAAACACCCATATTTTAAAAATTCTGATGTATCGTGTCCGATACTTTTTGACACTCTTCGACACTCCAACACACATTATAGAAATTCAAAAAAAGATTCAAAGGTTGCGTTGCGTTGAGTTTTTAGTTCCAATTATTAGATTCGTTGGATTACTATTACTGTTTTATTGAATTTAATATAAATATTTGGGATATCTTATTTCTTTGCAAAATTGATGAAAATTATAAGTTTAGTTTCATTTTTTTGTTAAATTATTAAATATTAAATATAATATACACTATATAAATTAAAAATATTTTATTTAATATCAAAATGTGTCCTAATATACCGAAATCTAACATTTTTTAGAATTAATATATCAAAATATCGTGTCGTATCATATCACGTGTCCCGTATCAATATCGGTGCTATATAAGATAGCTGCGGTTGATATAAAACACTTTTGAGGACTTTATGATATGGCGCACCTACCCATTCCTTCTCAGCTACGCACGGAACAAAATTTTTGTTAACTTATTATATAATCAAATAAAATCTTGAATTTTAAGACTTTTCTTATATATTTTTCTTCAAAACACAATTTTATCATTTTTCAACATGTAAAACTTCATTAATTCGTGTCATTTATCTTAAGGTATATCATACATAAATATAATTGGATTTTGAAAAAAAAAATTCACATATATAAATTGAATTCCATTGATTTTTGTCAATCTGATAATTTCATTGAGAAGTAATAATTAATTAATAAGTGTGACCCAATATATTATAATTGTTACAATTCATAAATATTAACAATTAAGATTTGGTATCAACTTTTTTAGTTTAACATCAATATTAAATGATCCTGCATTTATATATATATATATATATATATATATATATATATATATATATATATATATATATGTGATACTTGAATACTGTAGTAGTATTATACCCGCTTTATATTATTTTGTCTATTGCTACATTTAGTAGTAATAGTTTGAAATTAAATCATCTATTAGTTGTAGTGGTGGACCCAGAAAAACATTTTATGTCTGCTCATTTAGAGTGGGGGTTCGGGGGCGTCCCCCTCCCGATTTATTATATTTTTTAAAAGATCATGAACCAATTTTTGCTTTCACTTCAAAAGTAAAGCTTTGGTAAATCAATCAAAGTTTTAAGGAAATAATCGATAAAGATAATTAAAAAATAAATAACACCACAAAAAGACATTTGTAAAATATAGTATAATTGTAGGAATTAATAGATCAAAACCCACATATCTATTTGATCCAAAGTTGACCACTTTTGTTTCACAAAAGATCGTGAAAAATTTTGTGTGATTCTCCTCCAGTCTTTACCTTTTTCCTTTCAATCTTCATATTTTTATTTTTTTTACTTGGCCTGAATCACATCCTATGTGAAAAAAAATTTCCCCCAATTTTTTTATGTCTGTAAGTGCAGACAATGGGCACCCAAATGAGTCCGCCATTGATTAGTTGTCTATATTTACTTTTATTCAATTTTATTATCATTATAAACATATTATAATTCAATGTATTCGGTCTATACGCCCTCATAATTTGTGATTTAACTTGATTGTTGGAAGTTAACCCGTAAATCAAATCAAATCAAACTAATATAACACCCATGAATTTTGAATTCTCAAAAGAAGAAGCGTGAAGGAACATCAATCTTTTCTTTAGTCATCTCATGTGATGGAGTACCAAATGGTGGTAGTTCAGTTGGCGCATAGGAGCTAAGTAGGTAGGGGTGAGAGCATGTGTTCGAATCTCTTCAATACCACCTTTGGGAGGATCCCGAATCGGATTAGTTGTGAAGCAATGAACCTATTGAAATATTTCTAAAAAAAAATCTCGTGATGGAGTGAAGTGTTGGTCTTTAAACTCTTATCTCTCTTGACAATTTCTTTAAGGGTTCGTTTTTTCTAAAGTTACTTTAGACAACTTTATCTAATGTTCGTCGAAACAACGTCGTTTTGGGGTGAAAATCATGGTGTATTTGTAATTTTAATATATTTCCGAGTTATAATAGTCTTTATCATTTTAATTTTTTAATTTTTAAACCTTAAAACGACGTCGTTTCGGTGAACATTAGATAAAATTATCTAAAGTAACATTAGATACTTTTTCCCTTTCTTCAATTGATAGTTCTGTGTTTCTTTGTTAATTTTATTTTATATACTAAATAATATAGTTCAGTATGAGTAAGTGATAGGTGACGAGTCCGAACAAAACAGGGTATAGACATAGTGAGTGATCCCAAGAATGTGCATAGGAGATCTGATGCAGTAAAAATTGAAGTTCCATATCGGTGAAGTTAAGAAGCAGCAAGAGAGAGGCACACTACAAGGGGGCGTTTGGTTGAGGAGAAATTTTTATGAATCATAGGAAAATGTGATTAGTAGGGAAATGGTTGGAAAGTGAGTTTGGTAGGAAAATGTAAAAATAGTTGTTTGGATGAGAAAAATTTTACCGGGGAAATTAGGTAACTTTTGTAAAGTCTATGTTTGACTTTTGGTAAAATATAGATGTGGAAAAAATGTGTTATTACAAAAATAACCTTGTTTTTCAAAAATGAATCAATTATAAAAACGGCTGTGAATTAAAACGAATAGCTAAGGTATTCAAATCGTGTTTGTTTTTTTTTTTTTATAAAAAAAGGAAAAAAAAGAAGAAGATGAATTAAAGATAGTAATGCATGGACAGAAACAAAAGATGATGTTTGCTAAAATAATAATAAATTATTTGTCTTTTATAAGAATCAAAAGTAGATGGCAATATTACAGTATTAAAATATTAAAACATTGAAGTACGCTCGTAACAGAGGGTAAGTTGGTCTTTTGCTTATTACACCCACTAACCCAAATACACAGCTAACCGCAAATACCACATATGAAAAGGGTTTTTTTGGCCGGCAATCTCTTCCCAAAATGATAGGCAAAGTGGTTTGCTAGCATACTCATTTAAGTAGATAAATTTGGAACCTCTCTCAACCAAACATGGGCACCCAATTTCCCCACTTCACATTTGTCTATCAAACTCCTCAAAAACCTTCAACCAAACACACCCTAAAAACTAAAAAGCATGTTCAGCTGGCTACGAGAGTGACACAAATGGTTAAGAATTAGATTTATGGGAAATTATACTCTTATGTTACATAAGATTCATCTCTCATGTTACACTCACATAAAAAAAATGCGTCTCACTTTTTTTATAAAAAAAAAATTGGTGAACCCCACTTAATTTATCTCAGAACATAAGATAACTTATCTCCTATAACATGAGAGAAGTAAAGCCCTAGATTTATATCCCATAAGGACATGAGTCCTGTTGTCGATGTATTTAATCTTATTGGTACTGTGATATGTAATCTCTTTTAAAGATTATTGATATTGTAATATATAATCCTCCTGATAAGATATTAGTTTCTAAATCCATCTATATATATAGGATCATTTGACACCAGTGTCAAATTTGAAATTTGACATTTTGTCTTAGAGCCATTAGATAAAAAAAGATCAACGACTCTGATTTGTAAGCATATGACACTATTGATTTTTTTTTATATAACAACTCTCAGATGAGGTGTCAAACTTCAAATTTGACACTGATGTCAAAGGATTCTATCCCTTATATATATATATATATATATATATATATATATATATATATATATATATATGATCCTTTGACACCTCATCTGAGAGCCGTTAGATCAAAAAAGATCAACGATTCTG